TAACTTGAAGAAGCAGGGGATTCAGTATGATGAAGAACATGGAATCAAAAGTCCATCGTCTGATCTTTCCTGTTTGCTTGTAGCTCAGGGCCTTGAGGCAGTTAAAATTGAATTTGATGATGTCGATGAGTCTTGTTCGGAAAGATTGTTGCGTCGGTTACCCCTTTGCCATTTTCTTAGAAAAATATTTTTCCACCAACCCTCAAGAAGTTGACATTAGTCAGACCACATTTTCCATGGGAAGCTACGGACATTGTTGGTACATTGCCTTACCTCGAGGCACTCAAACTGAAAAACTATGCATGTGCTGGTGATGAGTGGAAACCTGTTGCTGGAGGGTTCTCTCTCTTAAAGTTCTTGTCACTTGAATGCATAAGATTCACCAAGTGGATAGCTACTGATGAAAATTAAACTTCCCTGTCCTTGAGCGCCTATGTATATCCTAGTGCTGGGAGCTAAAAAAGATCCCAGAACACTTTTGCATATATTTCAACACTGCAAGTGATTGAGTTAGATGAATGTTCTCTTCACCTTGCGAAATCAGCACAACAGATTCCGCAAGTGCAAGAAGAGTGCCATATTTTATCTATTCAAGCTTTTATTGTCTTATCTTCAATTATGCATGTTATGATTTTTGGCTGATCTCAAAAGTTGTGTTCCATTATTTCAAATTCTAAATTTGGTTCCATCTCTTTATTAGCCATGGACGCTGACGATTCAGCTAGTGATGAGGAGCTCAATGAGGATCAAGCTTCAGAACTTATGGAGTTGGAACATTAAACTTGTATCAAAGATTTGAAAGGTTAAACTTGAATCCGCTCATTATCAGATAGCAGCCAATAAAGGATTAGTCATAGAATTTTATAGTTTGTTATATATATCTCTTGTGCTCTTATGCTTATCCTTAATTTTGCAGAGTGCTGAATCTCCTTTCAGCTGAAAGCTGCATTGAAAGAGCACAATGCAATCTCAGGCACATTCTAGTGGTAAGATATTAGATAGTCAAACCTACTGTTTCAAAGGCGTACTTAAAGTGTGTTTAAGCCCTAAAAGAGGCTCAAATCATGTTGAGCATTCCGCTCGCTAATTAGGAGGTGCTTTAGTGTTATAATCAAGGCTCTTAAGTCTTAAGGATACTTTTCCTTGTAATATATGAGGGAATACTGTAGAAGTGACACTTGCGCTTTTCATCATTAACTCTTTTTGCCTTTGATAATACTGCTAAGGCATTCTTCCTCTCTCTTTTTAACACAATTTTATTTATATACAAGTAAATTTCGATGAAACTGTATAAGTAAGATTGTTGGATAAACACTTGAGTTTTTAGGACTTCTCATGTCCGAAAAAATTTACAATGGTAGAGGTTCAACCAACAATAATTGTGTGACCCTCCATTAATTAATGGGAAAATTGTATATAATAGCAAACTATTAATTCAAATTAAATGCTATAAATATAGTTTGATTTAATTGTACCACATAGCAAACTATTGCTATTTAACCTCTCTCCTGGTGAATCTCGCTCGCCACTCTCGATCTCTCCCTCGCCTCTCTCGTTTTTTATACAAACGCAAGTATATAAAGTGCGTTTGTGTTTGTATAAAGCGAGAGAAAATTGTATATATACATATATTTTCGTTCCCCTCTCCCCCCTCTCCCAGATCTTGCTCGCCACTCTCCTAGATCTCGCTCTCTCACTCGTCTCTCTCACTTTATACAAAAACCGCAAATTGTATAAAATGCGTTTGTGTTTGTATAAAGCGAGAGAAAATTGTATATATACATATATTTTCGTTCCTCTCTCTCCCCTCTCCTAGATCTCGCTCGCCACTCTCCCAGATCTCGGTCTCTCACTTCCCTCTCTCACTTTATACAAAAACGCAAATGTATAAAATGCGTGAAAATTGTATATATACATATATTTTCGTTCTCCTCTCTCCCCTCTCCCAGATCTCACTCGCCACTCTCCCAGATCTCGTTCGCTCACTCGTCTCTCTCACTTTATACAATTGATCTTTTTGTATATGTATACCAAAGCAGATTATACAACTGCTTTCTTTTGTATATGTATAGCGAAATATACATATTTATGTTTGCTATGGAGCGCAATTATGCAAAGTTTGCTATAGCATACAAATATGAATTTTGTGTTTGCTATATGTGAAAGTTGCTCTTAATTAATTGACACTTGGATTTGTGGGCCCATTTAACATCACACACTCTCTCACCTTATTTTTCCCCCAAATTTTCCCCTTTTCTCTCCAAAGTATTTTAGCGCTTCTCTGTTCAATATTCCTCTTTTTTTCACAATTTTTTTTTAAATTCTTTGTGCTCTTTATTAGTTAGTAACTTGATTAGCTCTTTCTTTCCCATTAATCATTTCTGTCCCTCAACTAAATCAATTTAAAAATTTGTCACCTCTCAACCAATTCAACTAAAACATAATTATTCCTCGTAGCCTTAGAAAAAAAAATCTTTGAAAATTTTCATTTTACATCTCAAAAAATTGAATCAAATCCCTAGGATACCTTTAAAAGATAAATTTTGAATGAGAAATTCACACATAGTTCATATTTGTATTAAGAAGTATTCACTGAATATCGAAAATCAAACTAAATAAAAATCTAGTCAAATTTAATATTTCTTCTACTTTAATTTATTTTAATTTTTTTTGACATAATCAGTTTTGGTTTTAAAGTACAAATAAATCGAAAAATCACAAATGCTTAAAAAAATTGACACAATGCTTAATTTATTTTCAAGAATCAATTGGTTCCATATAATTTTAAATTAACTACTCATTATATTATTATTATTATTATTGTTATTATAATAATAATAATAATAATAATAATAATAATACTAATAATAATATTATAATAATAATAATATCATTCGGCCTTAATATTATTAGAATTCATTTTTCGTGTCTTTACATACATTCAGTTATAATATATATTTCGCAACGTTTTTCTATTAAGTATTTTAAAAAATTATAACTTAAATTAAGCAAAATAACGGATACTCTCTGTTAAGAGAATGACTATAAATATATGAACTAAAACATAACTAAAATAACAATGACTATAAATATATGAACTAAAACAGAATAAAAAAAAAAATATGGAAAACTAAATTTGAATTAATTTGTTTTTCTAGGTGCTAGTAATTGAGAAAACACTAAATATTTTTTTAAAAATACTCAGTCCTAAAAACGTTTTTAGTTATTGTGATAAAAAAATGTTTATTAATTTTTTTATTCAATATATCAACATCTTAAGAAAACGAAGTTAAAAAATATTTATTAGGAGTAAGAAAATAAATGAAAAGAAGGGTGAGTAGGAGAGAGATGGTAAAAAGGTAAAGAAGCAGCCACAAATTCAAGTGTCAATTAATTAATTGAGGGTCACCTCTACCATTATAAATTTTTTCCTCATGTCCTAGATAAGTTTGGTTTCTCAACATGATAAGGCTAGCTTGTATAATTGTATTTGATTATAATTATAAGTTTGATTTTTTTTTGGTGGGGGTGGGGGAGTTTGATTTTTGGCCGTAAGATTTCGAGAATATTTAATTTAAGGAAATTGTGTAAAAAAAAAAGTTTTAAAAATAAAGTGATTGTACCAAATAATGTAACTTTCCACCTACTTTTATGGGAAGTGTAATTAATAAAGTACTTAATACGTACATTGAATTTATATACTTAATTAACTTCTTATGGAAAAGGGAAAACTTTTTTGATACAAGTTATTTTCCTAGAGGGAACTTAATTAATACTTAACCTTTTAAATTCACATTACAATTAGACTAACCTTATTGTTAAAAAAAACAATCCATCGACAGTCATGGCATTCCCCATTGAAGTTGAAGATGATCGCTATCAACTCTTTGATGTCTTCTTTTTTAGTGACCAAATCTTAACGACGGTGACTTGTAATCCTGACGTAGTAACAAATTGGATCAATGGAATTGAGTATGTCCATCGAAGACGTCTCAATCGACTCATAGTAGGGCTTGATATAGAGTGGAGGCCTACTTTCAATAGATACCAACACAACCCTGTTGGAACTCTACAACTTTGTGTTGGTCGTCGTTGCCTTATCTTTCAACTACTTTATTGTGAATATATACCTGATTCCTTGACGGAGTTTTTGTTGAATCCTTGTTATGCTTTTGTTGGCGTGGGAATTGCAAACGATGTTGAGAAATTGGAAGAGGATTATTCGTTACGTGTGGAGAATACAGTTGATTTGAGGGATTTGGCAGATTATAATTTGAGGAATGCTGGATTAAAGACGCTTTGTCAAGTTGTTTTAGGAAGAGAGATGGAAAAACCGAGGCATGTTACTATTGGGAGGTGGGATAATGAGTGGCTCGATTCTGATCAAGTGCAATATGCTTGTGCTGATGCTTTTGTTTCGTTTGAGATCGGAAGGTGCTTGAATGCTACGGCCTATTGATGTTCGTTTCTAGTCTTTTTTTTTTCGAATATGAATTGATTAGACTATTTCTCAATTTTGATTTCTGCCTTCTAATTTGGTTCTTGCATTAAATTCTATTTTTACGTCTTTGAACTAGGGTTCAATGTGAATAACGTACAATAGGCTCTTATGCTATGTGTATGCACAAATTAAAAATTTTGGATCAACTCAAGTGTGGAGACTTATTATGACTTGTCATAATAATGACATAGATTTAAGTTAATGAGTTATTAGATTGATCTATATAAAGTTAATTAATATCTAATAACTGAGTTTAAGGCCTATGCTACTTAGCTTGTAATAGTACTATTTCTTGCAATGTTTGCCATTATGAAACATTAATTAGAACATGCTTAGTTACATTATTAAAAGAAACAAAGTTTTGAAGTTCAATACTTGGATATATAAATAAAGAATAATGGATACATTTTATTCTAGAAAGGTGTTACAATTTCACAAGACATGAAAGTAATTAAGCAAATAAATTACAAAAATATTTAAGTAATGCAAAAGTAAAAGATGTTACATGTTCACTCGACATGTGTGTATAGGTTTAAAGGTAACCTAGGAGTAGGAACAATATGTAATGGAGTTTGCATGTATGTTACTGTGCCAGGACTCTCCATCATATCAATATCTTCAACCTTAACACCATTAGGCAGTGACCAAACAAAATGGTGCAACAAATGAGCTAACATAGATGTGACCAAATTAATTGCAAGGTTCATTCCTGGACATATACGTCTACCAGCACCAAATGGTAAAAACTTATAGTCATGTCCCTTCATGTCAACATCTTCTTCCATAAATCTTTCTGGCCAAAATTGCAATGGCTCTTTCCAAATTTTTGGATCACGACCTAAGGCCCAAACATTAACATGTACAATTGAATCTTTAGGAATGTTGTAACCACCCACTTTGACATCGTTACCTGCCATGTGAGGCAACATTAGGGGAGTTGGAGGGTGCAACCTTAGTGATTCTTTGACTACATGTTGTAGATAGGAGAGATTAGAGATATCGGTTTCGTTTACGATTCGATCTGATCCAATAACTCGATCTAGCTCCTCTTGAACTTTTTGTTGAACTCTTGGATTCCTTACCAGTTCTGCCATAGCCCATTCAACTGTTATGGCTATTGTGTCTGTCCCTGCTTGTACCATATCCTACAGACAAAAAAAAAAAAAAATTAATATAAAAATCGTGTATAAAAGTTAAAATTATATTAACTAGTATATGTATACTTACCCAAAAAAGGCTAATAATAGAGTCATCGCTAAGATCATACTCCTTTTGAAGGGTAAGCAAAGCATCAACAAAATGATGTTTGGTTTCTCCAGATTTTTCTCTAGCAATTGTGTGTTCTTCCATTATAAGTCTTGTAAATTTATTCAAACGTCTATCTTGTGACTCAAGAGCTTCATTGTCATCTTTAAATACCCAACGTAGCCATGGTACAAATTCTCCCAAATTAGGTTTTCCTGAAATTCTTATCCCATCTGTTACAATGGCTTTGAGCTCTTCACCTTGTTCATCAACTTCACCTTTTGAGTTTATAAATCTCTTCCCAAATGTTAGCCTTGTTATGTTGTTGAATGACACTAATCCCAAGTAGCCCCTTAGCGTCATTGTTTTACTATCATTACCTGCTCATCAAAGACAGATTTAGAATTTAAACTCTAAAAAAAATTGTTTAAATGTCGTTCTCCAACCATGCGTACGTGTATAGTCTATACTACATGTAGGCTATGTGTATAATGATATATATTTAATGTATAATTTATGTATATCGACTAAAAGTATAAACAATGAATTTGACCAAGTTTTGGATAAAGATCCCTAAAAAACTCTATGGGTTGAATATGTAGTATCATTGGAACTTCAACTTTCTAAACCCTTGTATCATAAAATATTAACTAAAGTATGATGATCAAATAATTAATCACTTTGACTATTGTATTTAATATTATATTGTTGTATCGCTTATTAAGAAAATATGTTTTTTAAAAAGGGTGTTGTATGGTTCAATTCTATCTCCTATTGACTGGAATATTAAAGAAAAGACTTTCCCGTTGAACAATATTTAATTTAATAAAATACTTCTTATGAAATTCCATTTAATCATTATTTATATAATTAAAGACCTAATTTCATCAAGGTTTGAATATTATTTGATCGAAGAAATCATGACAACGATTGATCTATACTCCCATCATTTTCGTCTACAGTCAGAGTTTTCATTCTTAACCAATTAAATACGTTAAAAAGAAAAGAAAAAATTTATCTAACACTGGACCATATTTTAATGACCAAACTACACAAATATCCGATGTGTATGCCAAAAATGTTGTTTAAACTAGTGATATGTAACTGAAGACCTTTTTATCAATCCTAACTTATTCTGAAGTAAGTAAACATGCAAACAAAAAAAAATTAAAAAAAATGGATAGATATTAAATACGTACTAAATATCAATCCATGCTAAATAAAATTCACTTACCAGGCTTAGTGGTATCCTTGAAAATATTTTCAACCATGGCAGTAACTTCAACTTCTCTAATTGGCCTAAGAGCTTCAAGTCTCTTTTGAGTAAAAAGTTCAAGATTACAAAGCTTTCTTACTTTCACATAATGAGGTCCATAATCAGCCCATATCAAATCCATCCCATTTTTACTCACACTATCAAGAGGTTTTGTTCTAAACCTATTGGCCAAATTTTGATCATTATCTTTAAGAACTTCTTTAGCAAGTTCCGCATTATTCACCACCACGTTTAGTTGTGAGCCAAGGTAAAAAGAAAAAATCGGCCCATAAATTTGGGCCCATTCAGCAAAGCATCGGAACCTCATCGGCGTTATGCTGAAGAGGTTTCCAATGACCGGCCACGGCCAAGGACCTGGAGGCAGCTTGGCCGTGAGCCGGTTGTAGAGTTTGTAACATAAAAAGATGATAAATATTGATAGAGAGAGTACTAAAGGAAAAGCCATTATGGGAAATAAATGAATATAATTGTGTTTGTGTGATGAAATAAGGCAAGCTAAGCCCCCTTTAAATACTATTTTTTCAACTCACTCGTAGAAGAAAAAGTCATATACTTTAATATATTTATATTAGTTTGAGATTTAGATATATACACGGTAGGTGGGGAAGAAATTATTCTATCAATGAAGATAATACAAGTCCTATTTTTATGACTATAATCTCAATTTTTATTGAGTCTTACATGTAAATATTATTAAAAAGGCCCGGTAATATTTTTTTAAAAAAAGACTAATTAAATTAACATTGTCTGTAACTTAAATCCAATTCTTTGTAAATTTTACTTTTAAGGAATTTGATGGTTTTTATGAAAGAGCCAGTAATGATATCCTATTTAATTTACATTATCAAATCACATTCACATGGATGTGAACATAAAGAAGCAAATAAACGAAGAAGCTAAAGAGATTCAATGTTTATTATATATACATAAAAATAAATTTAACTCTATATATATATATATATATTGTAGTAATTTTACGAAGATAATTTGAATAAACCCCTTGTATCCTTAGGTCCATGTGCTGATTGTGAATTTGTGATCAACTTGCAGCAAAGAGAGAAAAAACTGTTTGTTGATTACTATTCCATATTGACCTTTGCTTCGTTGATTAATAATTTCAGTTGACAATTAATACGTAGTTACCTATCGCTAGTGGCATGACTATATATCTTGATTTTTCAAATCATACATGTCTAATTGTCTATCCACATTAATGGGGACTCTTTTTTCTCAAAATTTCCATTTTTTTTTTAGATATTGGATGATTTTTATATTATAACTCATGGAGTAGTTAAAAATATTTAAGATCACCACTTTAATAAAGCGTAACATTTCGGAGCTAGTTTTTTATCTATAAAAAATCACGTTATTTTTACAAAAAAAAAAAAAACCTTGCCACTTTCTTGTAGATGCAAATATTAAATGTGCATAAGCTGAGAAAAACATTATTATAAACTATTTTTTTATAATCTAAATAGTGTTAAAATTAATATCATAAATAGGAAATGATATTTACAATAGGTTAAAATTCTAGTCATACACACTTGTTTGAACGACTGAGTATTTTTGAATATTCTGATGCTATAATTAATGCAAAATGTCTATGTTGAATTCAAGAAAGAAACATTCAACTGAAATTTTACATGAATTTGCATTTAAATTTTGGTCGAAATATACAAATGAGTTTTACGTGAATTTGCATTAAAATTTTGGTTGAAATACTCTCCCGTCTTATATTAGTTAATCATTTTCCTTTTTACACATATATGAAGATATCATAAATAAAAAAATAATCTTACTACTTCACTTCTTTAAAAACGTTTTGAAAATTTAATTTTACAAACTTTGTGAACACTTTAAAAAAAAAAACTAATTGCAAGGATAATATAGAAAAATTTAGTAGTGAACAACTAATGAGTATGAGACAACTAATTTTAACATGATAATATGAGACAACTGAAATTTACGTGAATTGTCAACAAATTTTTGGTCGGTATATTCTAGAGAGCTGCAATAGTTTGATAATTACCATAGTAAAACCAATCGACATGTGATTAAAATTAGAGCAGCCATTAAATTAATAGTCCTACATCGATCGAACGGATGAAAAAAGAATTTGATCTTCTTATAAAAACTTAGACGATATTTCCCTTATGAACTAATTTTTTGAGTAGCGATATGGAGGATGTATATATATAATCTATATATCGAATTATAACTTACTATATATAACTGACTTTAATTTGAATTGATGCGAAACTATTATTGTAGTACTGTATCATATTAAGACTATGATATATCTTTGAACCTTTTATTTATTTATTTAAAAAAAAGTATTTTTATGTTTCAAACTAGATATGCCACCTTGAAATAAGCATGACATAACAAAATTCTGGCTTTGTATGAAGAGAAAAAAGCTAAAACTTTTGAATGTTATCTAATTTGAGTAATGTGTTATGTCATGTGTGAACGAGACTATTTGAATACTAATATGATAATACTAAATTAACTTCACCTATAAATTCATCTTACAGTTTTCACATTTTTCAAGTTTGTTTTTCCGCTTCTTGTTTTTATTTTATTTCATAGTTTATGAGAATTTATTTTATATTAATAAAACTAAGTAGCATAAGGGTACAGAGGCTACGAAGGCATCATATTACAAGACACCTAAGGTTCGATTGAAGAAGTAGCTACTTGAACACTATTAATTAACTACATTACTAACTTCAACTACTACGAGATTAGTACAAAAAGAATGACTTAATTTGATTTGACACGAAATTTAAAAAAATAAAGAAGATTTTTTTTCAATTTTATAGTCCTAAATTAAAATTATGTTAAATATACCAAATTATAGCCTTAATCGAGTCATTCTTTAATTTTAAAACAGGGAGTATTAGAAATATCTTTTGTGCCGGCAGTCGAGTAGAACATAATTGCGTGAATTAGGAAAAGATGATTTTAAAATTAATTAGCCTTACTATATATTAATACGTATCGCAATAAAAGATCCAAGTAAATGCTTCCTATGAAAATATTTTTTCTATTTTCAGGCCTTAATATTAATTATTACTAATGAGTAATATATATATATAAGTATTAATCATCATAATCCCCAAACCTATGGCGAGCTTGAGCGTGGAGATATATATATATGACTCCTCATTATAACACAGTCAAAAAACGAGTTCAAATTTAAAGTTTATGAGTTATTATATCGTTCTTAAATTAACAAAATATTAAATATATTTAGGGTCTATATATAATCCTTCCATTATGTAGTATTATTTCTTGCAAACTTGCCCTAATATATATGGGACACTTGAACAGCTGGTACATTCTTCAAAGAAAAAAAAAATGTTTTGAAGTTGAGTTATAAGTATTGTTCAAAATAAATATATTGGAGACATATACATATTGAAATTTCTCAAGTACTTCAAAATAAAAAATAATGTCAAATTTTATTTGAGAAAGATGTTACAAGGTGAAAGTAAAATAACTTGACAAAAAACATAAGACATAACCAACGCAAGAATAAAAGATGTTACATACTATATAATCATGTGTGTAGTAGTGATTTTACATGTTCATTCAACATGTGTTGTATAAGTGTATAGGTAACCTAGGAGTAGGAACAACATGTAATGGAGTTTTCATGTATGTCACTGTGCCAGGACTCTCCATCATATCAACATCTTCAGCCTTAACACCATTAGGCAGTGACCAAACAAAATGGTGCAACAAATGGGCTAACATAGACGTGACCAAATTAACTGCAAGGTTCATTCCTGGACATATACGTCTACCAGCACCAAATGGTAAAAACTTATAGTCATGTCCCTTCATGTCAACATCTTCTTCTATAAATCTTTCTGGCCAAAATTGCAATGGCTCTTTCCAAATTTTTGGATCACGACCTAACGCCCAAACATTAACATGTACAATTGAACCTTTTGGAATGTTGTAACCACCCACTTTGACACTGTTACCTGCCATGTGTGGCAACATTAGGGGAGTTGGAGGGTGCATCCTTAGTGATTCTTTGACAACATGTTGTAGATAGGAGAGATTGGAGATATCTGTTTCGTTTACGATTCGATCCGATCCAATAACTCTATCTAGCTCTTCTTGAACCTTTTGTTGAACTCTTGGATTCTTTACAAGTTCTGTCATAGCCCATTCAACTGTTATAGCTACTGTATCCATCCCTGCAGCTATCATATCCTACAATAATTGATGAAGTTGTTATTAATACAAAAGCATGCATAAATATATATATATATATATATCAGTATATAAAAGTTAAACTCTATTAATGTACGTACGTACCCAAAAAAGGCTTATAATAGTGTCATCACTAAGATCATACTCCTTTTGAAGGGTAAGCAAAGCATCAACAAAATGATGTTTGGTTTCCCCAGTTATTTTCCTAGCAATTGTGTGTTCTTCCATTATAAGTCTTGTAAATTCATCCAAATGCTTATCTTGTGCCTCAAGAGCTTCATTATCATCTTTAAATACCCAACGTAGCCATGGTACAAATTCTCCCAAATTAGGTTTTCCTGAAATTTTTATCCCATTTGTTACAATGGATTTCATCTCTTTACCTTGTTCATCAACTTCACCTTGTGAGTTTATGAATCTTTTTCCAAATGTTAGCCTTGTTATGTTGTTGAATGCTACTGATCCCAAGTAGCCCCTTAGCATCATACTTTTACTAACATTGCCTGCACGCCATATAAAAACTTTTAAACTTCAACATCTAATTACGTTACGTTTTTATCATTAGTATGCTTAAAATATAAAAGGGTCAGACATACTATTTGTTGTAGTTTTAGTATTAAATTTACGCTAAACTTTAGTATATATTATATTTGTCACCTTTTAAAGTCGTGATCTTATTATTATCCATTAATTAAAATATTCAGTAGTATACCTACTATACATGTACTTTTTTATGGTTGTGAAAGCTATATGTGTAAATTTAATATCATTGGAACTTCCACTTTCTAAATATTCGATTAAGTAAATTCCTTGACTATGAGTTACCTAACAAATATTAGTATTATTTTTTTATAAAGCGTGTGCTATGGGATTACTTTAAGTCTATCTCCTATATATTTTGACTGGAACAAAAAAAATAGACTTACCCTTGGAAAGTAGTACTTATACGCAACAACCTTAAATATAAAAATGTTAATTGAATTCCATCTAATGATTATTGATACGATTAATGAACTTTAATCACGTATTTTAATATTAATATTTAACTAACGAAATGATAATGATGCTCCTATCGTTTTCGGCTAATGTTGACTAAGTCGAGTTTTCACTCTTAACCCATTATTAACTACGTACATAGAAAAGAAAAAAAAAATCTATCGACACCTCATAGCGACATGTGTTGTGTGAAGTGTTATATAGCTAAAGTTTAAGTATATACGACTGAAGTTTAATTATTTTTACCTT